ACCTGAGCTGACATTTTTATTTGCAACAGGATTTTATTGGCATCACCAGAGTTTTCAGTGTTATAATTGAATGCTAAAGTGTACAAACACAACATGTCTCTCTCAAGCCCTGAAAACCATCCCCTGTTTTCTCAGAGTGGAAACTCCCTATGTCTTGCTCCTTAGTATCTCTAACCCAAAAACTTGAAATCAGGTTCAAGATGCAAAGTATTTTTAGCATGAACATGATGCCACAAATGGAAAATTCCATACCACAAATTATGAACTAAACTTTGTTTCATGCACAAAATTCTTAAAAATATTGTGTAAAAGGGGCAGATGTGCGACTCAGTGGTTGAAATGCTGCTCAAGACACCTTCCTTCCACATCAGAGTATTTGGATTTGAATCCCAGCTCTGCTACTGATTCAGCTTTGTACTAATGTGTACCCTAGGAAGCGTTGGACTATGGCTCAAGTACTTGGGTCCTGTCACCATATAGGAGACCCAGAATGAGTTCTGTCCCCTGACTTCAGTCTGGTCTGGCTATAGCAATGACTACAAAAGTGAAACAGAGGATGGCCTCTGCTCTCTCTCTCTCTCTCTCTCTCTCTCTCTCTGTCTTTCAAATAAAATTTTAATGTAATTTAAAAAATTCATTGTGTAAAACAAATCTAGGCTAATTGTTCATGATTTTTATAAAACATAAGTGAATTTTATGTTTAGATCTGACTCTCATCCCCAAGATATTTCATTATCTATTTGCAAGTATTGAAGAATTTGAAGAAATCTCCAAAGCAAAATACTTCTGGCCCCTGTGGGGGGCAACTCGGACTAGACTAAGTTACTGGAATTAAGACTTATTCTATGCATCTGCTCTCCCACAATATGGTGCTGGGAGAGGAGTAAACAACTTCTACACAGCTGCCTCTCACCAATTTGACTGATGAGCTGCAGGAGCTGATCTTGCTCCTGATTGGAGGAGAGCAGCGTGCTAGGCGTGTGGGTAGCAGAGTTGGGATTGGTGGAAGAGGACTATAAAGGAGGAGAGAGACAACATGCACCAGGAACATCCGGATAACATCTGAGTAGCCCCCGAGAGAGCCGGCCGGCGGTGTGCCGCTCCCCCGCGGAAGTGGGGAAAGTGGCAGGGGGAGCCGCCCCTCCACGGAGGTGGAGGGATCGGCAGCCAACCCGGGAAGGACCAGCAGCAAACCCGGGAAGGGCCGAGCAGACAAAAGAACAGCGCAGAGTCCTGTGTCATTCCTCCATGAAGAGGAGGAGCGACAGGCCCCAAGCATTTTGGATAAGAGATACTCAACTTGCAGGTGTTGTTTCTGAGCTGCACTGTCTCACTCCTGCGGGCAACACCCCCCTTCCATATTGCATGCAAAATAAAACAAAATAAAAATGAAGTGAGCACCCAATATGGCCCACATGTGTGCAGTAGATTCCTTTGGAAGTGCACAGGGAGCAGTGAAGATTTGCACAAAATCCTGCAGCTTAAATGTGAAACATCCTCTGTGTAAACTCTCCTGTGTGTCCAGCCCTGCCTTTGATTTTTCCTGGTTACTTCTCCTGATGGTGTCGATGGTGTCCCAAGGCTGACATTCCCGCCTCTCTTACTGCTGTGTTCAGGCTGTGTTCTCAGTCCTCCTTGCTCTGGCCCCTCTTTCTTCCTCGCTGGGCACACATTTTTCTGTCCTTACTTGATTCATGCCAATGGTCACACCATCAGGCTCATCACACTTGCCTCAATCAATGCTTGAACATATCTTCCTAAGCAAAACATTTTCTTTTCTAAGATAAATTTCATTTCCTGCAGGTAAGACAACTTTTGGAAATTTCCTCCACATATCCAAAGGTACTTCAAAAAGTTTACAAAAAACAGAATTACAAGATCAGTGTATTTTCTGGAAAAACATTGTGTGGTTCATGCATAGTTTTCTCACATTATTCATTTTTGTAAACTTTTTAAAGATTCCTCCATATGCATGCATTTCTGGTTTATTCACACAAAAATACATTGACCTTTGAATTTTATTTTCCACAAGCTTTTTGAAGTACCCTCATATTTATACTCCATTCCCTCTGGCACAGCTGTAGTTCACCTGCTTCCATGATAATCAATTGATCTACAGAAAAAAAAAATAGCAAGTCTGGCTTTGGTGTTTGATCTGGTACCAGAGGGGATAGAAAAGCTGCCAGAGGGCCATTTCCCTAATGAGATCAGTGAACATAATGTTTAGTACTGAGCCTCACCTTGTGGAATCTCCCCTCTCTCTTGCCTTGTTGGTCAAGGTGCGCTATGAAAACCTCAGCCTGGAAGGTGACCATGGTGCTGGTGCTGGTGCCGAGGCACTAAAACCTCACAGTCCTGTAATAACTCAGCCCAGGCAGACCTATGCATTGCACAACCTTGCCTCTTCTCTCCTCTCCTTCCTCGTATGCAGGGTTATGGAGCTGGCTTTATCATGGATTTTGTTCCTTAGTTAAGGCTCTGGACTCCCAGATAGCTATAGACTATTTTCCACAGGTGAATACATTGTCCAAGACTCTCCAGCACTTGGGCTTTCAGTGTTCTGATGCTAACAGCTTCCTTTCCCTCTGGATGATATGAGTTCACTGGTGCAGTGTGGGACTCAAAAAGACTTAAGTCCAGGGTGGCTTGAAGAGAAGTCGAGCTGGTTCTCAGATGGCCTGGGTTTTCACTGTAGTAATTCACTAAGGAGAGCATGGTCAGTAAGTGACCCACTTGCAAGGATTCTAACTCCGCTGCTTGCTAAGCAGTGTAACCTGGGATAAGCCACTGTGCCAGTTTTTGCCTGACTTTTTCCTTAGTGGTTTGCATTTAAGTACTCAGGAAGTTTCACCTCTTATTAACATTGGTGGAAAGATTCACATGTTGATTTGTCACTGTTTGTAAAATGCCCTATGTGCTCCGGATTGAGCTACACCTAGAAAGACAAGCAGATGTACTTCCTACTCGATAGAGTGTTCATTCTAGTGAGAAGTCAGACATCACAACGGCTGTATCACTACAAGCTCATCAACCATGTTTAGGAAAAAATGGAGCAAAACAAGGAGGTGCAGTTAGCAAGCACTGGGAAGACACTCTGAAGCAGAAGAGCTTCAAATATATGCTAGGTGAGGTGAAGGCAAGGGAGGGTTAGGCCTAGGGTGGAGAAGGAGAAACTCACATGTTCAGGGAAGATGCTGGGCAAGGTCCAGAATGTAAGAAAGGGAGAGCCCAGTGTGGTGGGGAAGTTCTGAGCTGCAGGCAGTGTAGCTGTGAATCTGGATTTTGGGCAAGGACTTGGTCACATAGGGCCATTGGTGTCATTTTAGAACTTATGAACTTGATTCTAGGAGTGACTGGGGAGTCATTCGAGAGTTTTCATTCTCATTTGTCTTCTTTTATTGAAAAGAGAAGCACAAACAGAGACAATGAGAGCTGCCATCTCCTGGTTCACTCAACAAGTGCCTGAAACAGCTGAGGCTAGAAGCCCAGAAATCAATCTGGAGTCCAAAACTCAATCTGAGTCTCCAAATTGGATGACAGGGACCTAAGTGCATGAATCATCACCTGCTGCCTCCCCCCCCCCCCCCAGCATGAAGAATTCACAGGAAACTAGAATCAGAGGTGGAGTTGAAACTTGAACCTGTGTACCTCCAATATGAGATGTAGGCATCCCAACTGGTATCTTGCCATCACACTATGTGCCCGAAGTGTTCTCATTTTTTGAATGAAATATTCTGGAATATTTATCTTTCCAAATATGATACTGAGATTATTGAGTGAACCTGGAATTACGTATGATTGGCACATCTGAAGAGAATGATTTATTTAACTCTGAAGAATGCTCAACTGGAGCTTTAACTGCCTGCAACCCTTCCATGTGTTAGACCAGGTGGGGTTGTCTGTTGTCCCTGTACTCCTCTCCTCCTGCCCCTCACCCTGTATCCTTTCGGCTTTCCAGAGAGTCCCCAGATCTTTGCACAGAGAATTCGCTTTTTCCAAGCTAGCAGCTGTGTGATTTAGGAGGAGTCGCTGGAGACCCAGCTGCAGGAGGGTGTGCGAGCTGTGATCCTGTGCCCGTCCCCCATGCTGTTGTGCTGATTATATCAGGACAAGCCAATTAAACAGTGAGGGATGAGAATGGAAACCAGTGACCTTCCTGTGGGACATTCAATAGTTTTCTTTACCTTTTTTGTAAAGCAAATTTAAGATTTATTGCTCCCTCTTCCTCTCTTCCCCTCATCCTTCCTCTCTCTCATTCTCTTTTTCTCTGTCTCTCATGCATGCTCACACACAATATCAGTGATAAAAAAGTCTCTGATGTTAGTTCCCAGAGATATAAATAGGGCCAATGAGTAGATCCTCCAGAGATATGTCAGAAAAAAAGGAAAGAGTCCATGGTAGGGGGGAGAGGGAGAAACTTTAAGTTCTGGATGAACTGCTGGTGGTTTTCTATGTATCTGTTCACATTTTCACGTATTGAGTCATGATCTTTGGCCTGCCTACAGCAGCCTATCACATATGTTGAATCCCTATTCTTACCTTCAGACTCTCATGGATGCTCTGTTCTGGAAAAGTTCAGCAAACCCCCAGCTCTCTGAGTTTGGTTCAGACTCCCCCTACACATGGGTCTCAGCATAATCATCTCAGTATCTGGATCTCAGCTTTGTCCTACATTTCACAAAACTACCAGTCCACAAAGGATTGCAAATATGTTGGCTTTTGTTAAATAGCAGGAAAACTTTACCCCATGCAGCTGAGCCATTCATTTGGAAAAATGCAGTAGAAGGCACTCAAATATCCTGTTCTGTAGTGAAGAGAAAAAAATAGTTTTTCTATTTGAAATATTATGAAATATAAATGCTTTTCTTCATGTCAATGTTCCTGTTCCCTCTGTGACCCAATTCTTGTTGATTAGTCTTGTGCTGCCTTGAGTCCAATGTTGAAGACCTTCCATTGTGACCTAAGCACTGTGACACTGCAGTCAGATCATGTCTAGCCCCAGGCAATGAGGTGCCCTTGGTACTTCCTGGATCCATGGGAGACACGTGGATGAATCCAGAGGTCTGTTCCTTGTTCACATGGGTGAGTGAGCACCTCCTCCCAGTGTCAGAATCAGGCCCTAGAAGCAGCCCTTAGCTGGTAAGAACCACGAGGCACAGGAGCTGTTTCTGTTTGCTTCTTCCCACTTCAGTTCTACTCACAGATGGGTAGGTTTTGCAATAGGGTCCCTATTTAGCTTTTGGAGATTGTGCATGAAATATCTTTGTATTTTCTCTTTCAGAGGCTGTGAGGTAACCTTATGTGAGTGTTATGTGTCTGTGTGTGTTGGGAGAGAGGGGGTTGATACAAGATTATATAGTCCTAACAAAGAGAAAGAAATGCAATCTGCTCCTTGGCATTAAACTTGGCTCATTCAGTAAAATGTTCAGTTCCTCCCCCTTTTACTGAGACTCATACCACCCCAATGAGCTACATTTGTCACCATTGTCAAAGGACCACAATTCTTTTTTTCCTTCAAGATTTATTTATTTATTGAAAGACAGAGTTAGAGAGAGACAGAGGGACAGAGAGAGAGAGAGAGAGAGAGAGAGATCTTACATCTGCTGGTTTACTCTCAAGCAAACCAGCAGATGGAATGACTATGTCCGGCCAAAGTCATGACTCTGAAACTTCATCAGGGTATCCTTTGATGGTGGCAGGAGCCCTAGTACTTGAACCAACTTCTGGTGGTATCCCAGGTGCGTTACAGTGGAGCTGGATCAAAGACCCAGCAGCTGGGACTAGAACGTGTGCTTTGTTATGGGATTCCAGCGTTAAAAGTGGCTACTTAACCAGCTGCAGCACATCAGCCCCAAAGGGCCACAGTTGTAATGGAAGTGTTGAGCTTCCTGGAAATGCTTTAGAACAGTAGTTGTGCATAACGATAATCCTCAAAGATGACTGCCTGGCCAAGCCTGCATGCCCCCTGCAGTGAGCTCAGACCCCCTTGCAGGCAGGCGAGAGCAGTTCTGGGTAGACGAAGAATCTTCTTTCCTCCTCTGTGCCCTGCTTGTGCTGAGAACTCCTGCCCACTCCCACATACAGTGTTTACCTCCTGGAGAAGACTCCAGTTTTTTTTTTTTTTTTTTTTTTCATGTTTTTAATAGAACTCCATAAGTTTTAAATTTGAGCAAATCATGGTTGATATATATATATATATATATATATTTTTTTTTGACAGGCAGAGTGGACAGTGAGAGAGAGAGAGAGAGAGAGAAAGGTCTTCCTTTTGCCATTGGTTCGCCCTCCAACAGCCGCCGCGGTTGGCGCCCTGCGGCCGGCATACCATGCTGATCCAAAGCCAGGAGCCAGGTGCTTCTCCTGGTCTCCCATGGGGTGCAGGGCCCAAGTACTTGGGCCATCCTCCACTGCACTCGCTGGCCACAGCAGAGAGCTGGCCTGGAAGAGGGGCAACCGGGACAGAATCCGGCGCCCCGACCGGGACTAGAACCCAGTGTGCCGGCGCCGCAAGGTGGAGGATTAGCCTAGTGAGCCGAGGCGCCGGCTAATATACTATTTCCTATACTGAGCAGCTCTTGGATTTTATTTAATTTATTTAATCTCCTTGGGCCAGTGTTTTCCAAGCTGCAGGTGCCAGTCAATTAGTGTGGCATAGTTAATTTAATGTTCACAGTGATACATGAAAAATGCGATCGAATAGGAAAATCAGTCTATCACATACTGTAATGGTAACTTTTGTTTAGATCACCTGAAATAGTCTGTGTTTCTGACTTCTTCAACTATTTTTAAAGCATTGCTCTAAGCCTCAGTTTCATGATCTCCAGTTGCCATTTAATTATTTAAATTTTTATATAAAAACCAAAGTCGTGTCTTCCACCCATCTGTTAGGGCAGGAACTAACTTCTTTCCTAAATGCTTGGCTCATATATCTTTGAATATCTTTAGACCAAATAATAAATCAAGTTAAAATGCCCCTTAGCAGGGACCTGCTAACAAGTTATCATTTTGATTCAATTATCAGAGATTGATGTGAGTTTTACTTCATCCTGTGGAGAATGGGCTTTTTGCATACCCTGATTCATATTTAGAAAAATGGTGTCCTGTTCCACTGATTTACCATTTGGTTCTCAGAGTAAATATCAAAAAATGAAATCAATTTCTTGGGGGAAGGAGAAAGGGAGAGGAAAGAAAAATATGGTAGGCTAACTTTAAGTTTGGTTCAATATGTTGACATATGGAATACAGAGCATCAGGCTGGGTTTTTGGATGGACATACATGTGCATACATGTATGCAAGTATGGTATGTGTATGTGTATGTATGTTTTGGAGTCCTGATGTTGAAGCCAGTGGGGCTGTTTACTGATAGCACAGTAATTCTCATTCCAGACACATAATGAATTTACATTTACTTCTGCTGTGAAGCTGAGCGTAGCCACATGACTTGCTTTGGCCGCTGAGATATGGTTGACACCACATTTAGCACATCTGCATGGCCTTACACCCAAGCTTTGTTTGCTGTCTCATTTATATGGCAACAATCTAATGTGGCAGAGATTCTGAGCCCAGCAATTATGAGATGGACAATCTATGTGCCTTGAAATAGACACATAATATGAGTGAGAAAGACTTTCTACCTAAATCAACTCTGATTTAGAGTCTAACTGATTTAAAAGTATATAGCCTTGTAGATTCCGATTGACACAAATGATAGATACATAAAGAGGTATGCTGTAAAATGTGGTTGGGGGAGTATTCACTCTGACTCTGCCACTATGAGCCATGTGGTGTTGGGCAAATTAGTTAACCTGTCTATGCTGCGACTGTCTCATCTGCAAGATGAGAGTAGGTGCAAAATTTGCCTCTTCGGATTGTTGGGGAGTTGTGAAGATGAAAAATATGCCAATACATGTAAAACACCAAGCTTGGAAGCTAATGAGTATTTAAAAATTTATTAGTAGTATAGATAGCTATTATTGTTATTATAAATAATACCACTTCAAATGCAATCAATATGTATTCAAGTGTTAAAACAATTATTTCTTAGTTATGATAAACATTTCTATTTTTTCAAAGGGGCTTAATTATCACTTACTTTAATAGTTTTAATATGTACAGGGCATCAAGCATGTTCATGCTTTACATATTATTTTTTTTTAATTTTATTTAAGGTATACCCATTTCATGTATTTTATATATATAGATTCAGGAACGTAGTGATACTTCCCACCCTAACCTCCCTCCCACTCACATTCCCACTCTTCCTCCTCCTTCCTCTCCAATCCCACTCTTAATTTTTACATTGATTTACTATCAGTTCACTCTGCAGCCATTTTATGGGAAGGATAATTGGGGGAGTAGGGTCAGTGGTTGAAAAAGTTACCTTCATCTGCATGAAAATGCAGAACCAATTTTCTCTGGCTTTTCAGTTTGTGCCATCTCTTACCAACACCATGCTGAAATTGTGAGGGTACCATGACTTTATGGAATTTTCTGAGAATAGTGCCTTATACCAAAACTGTCACTTAGTTCAACCAAACACTAGTAAGTAGAAAATATATGACTTGGAAGACATGCAAAGTTTTTGGTGAATGAACATTAGTGGATAACATGGTATCTCTCATTCAAGTTCTTTCCTATATAACTGTAGGGGTTTATAATGATCTTCCAAGGTGGCTGCTTTACCATAAGAAAATAGCCAACTGTTCAGCACTTGTCCCTTGTGGGAATCCTGCCCACCAAGAGAATTATGAGATCACAGTCTGGTACTGACACCCCACCACCACCACAAACACCCAGCCACCATCACCCATCAGCAAGCTGCTGCCTGCTTTCTCAGACCTGGATCCAAATGGGTTTCTTGCACTGACCCCACATCTTCAGTCAAGGGGCCTTTCCCACTCTCTTGAGGATTCTTAATAATCATATACTGTATCATTGCTGCCAAACAAACTAACCCATTTCAATTGTACATCTCAATTGATTGACTTGCCCTTTCATGAAATCAATCAATTGTTTTTAAATACGAGCCTAAATGAGTGTGTCAGATCCTTAGAAATAGCTCTCATTGTCTTTTCCCTGTCTTTTACCATGAATCACTTCTTAATCCAATTGACTTTATCTGGACTGTTGTTTTCTGCTACTATTGTACCTCCTAACAAAATGTAGCTAAAAACAAAAAGCTATATTTCACTGTCCAAGAAATTGTAGTTCACCATTGAGAGCAATGCATTTCCCTCAAATCTCAGTGCTTACATGAATGGAGTTGGCAAATGTTTGCATCATTCACTCACTTAGGTGGGTGTGAGGCATTTGTGAGAAGGTGTAAATAAATTTGCTCCACACAGAATTTCTTTGGTTTCTAAGAGTGTGTAGTAAAATATAAATAAATCATTTGCAGTTCTTCAATAGGCATACAGAACAAGCTTAATAGAGTAAGAAAAAACATGGAAGCCAAGAGGCCTCAGTCCCAGACTGTATCTGGTCAGTTGACCTCAGGAAAATGACCTATGGTCTGATCTTTGGAGCTCCTACTGTAAAGCTACAACCTTATGTGAATATAGTGTGCATTAGAGTTTTGAAAAACTCCAGTGTGCTTTAAAAAGTTTCAGTGGTAAAAAGCCTCATGTGCAAAGCTAGCCATTATGCTGCTGGCTATATAATTCAAAATCACAGGGAGGAGAGAATGAACTTGTGAGATGGGATGTGATTCTTTGCAGTAAAACAATAGATAGTGAATATTATTTATTGAAAAACTGTGATTTTTGGTATTGTGCCAAATACTTCAGATATAATATTTTCTTTTTTTTTAAATTTTATTTAATGAATATAAATTTCCAAAGTACGATTTATGGATTACAAAGGCTTCCCCCACATACCATCCCTCCCACCCACTACCCTCCCCTTTCCCACTCCCTCTCCCCTTCCATTCACATCAAGATTCATTTTCGATTATCTTAATATACAGAAGATCAGCTTAGTATACATTAAGGATTTCAACAGTTTGCTCACACAAAAACAAAAAGTGAAAAATAATAGATGATTTTTTTAAAATGATGATGAAATCAGATCAGACCTATTGTCA